CGTGGTCAAACACGGTTCGAGTCTTGGACCCGGTGGCTTGAAACAGGCTGGGAACGTGTGTGTGTGTGTGCCCAAGATCCCGAGAGAAGAGTGGAGGAGAAGGGACCGCGGCATGGCCATCCCCACTTGGGGGTGATCTCTCACCTTCTGTACCTCCGTCTCTCCAGTGAGCACACACACTCTATAGCAAAAATCTTTCAGATTAAAAAAAAAAAAAAGAAAATCATGCTGGGTGCATGTGCTTGTGTACCTAAAGGAAGAGAGCAGAGGAGACGGGACCGCGGTGTAGCCATCCTCCCCCGCCAGGGGTGACCTCTCACCTTCACTCCCACTGTCCCTGTCTCCCTCCGGCGAGCGCATGCACCCCATGGCAAAAACCTTTTTTAAAAAAGGAAAAATGAAAAGAACACTTTTACTCATATGTTGTGAGTTCTAAGGCCATAGTACTGTTCTATTCATAAGACATAAGTACTCGAAAAAGCAAAGACAAAACAACATTGGAAAGAGATATTAAAAAGTGATAGAGCCAGTGATTTGGTGATTTATAGGTTTTACAAAGTTCTTTAGTCTTTTTTTGCATTTATTCTAAAGAAAGAGTCAGCTGTAACACTTGGGACTTTTCCTTTATTATCTAATTTTATACAATGAGTAATGGTTATAATAAGTATATAAATTGAAACCCACGCAGACAACTATCTTTTGAATAATAGGTGGATTTGTGTTTAAGCCTGCTTGTGTGTATTTTTTTTATTCTTTTTTAAATTTTATTTTTTTGGAGAGGTTTTTGCTATAGGGCGCATGTGCTTGCCAGACAGAGAGAGACAGAGGGACGGAAAGTGAGAAATCACCCCCCAGGGGGGATGACCATGCCGCAATCCCTTCTCCTCCATTCTCCTCTCGGGCACACGCGCCCGGCGTGAGTTTTTTTCTTTTTTTTCCTTTTTTTCAGAGAATCTTTTTTTTTTACAGGACGCGATCCAAGGTCAACTACATGGGAGTCCAGAGACATAGCCATTACTCTAACTGATGGTCCCCAAGCCTGCTTGTGTGTAAAATGGCTGAATTTGCATTTAATCTTGACAGTCAACGTTATTAATACGTGGGTTTATTTATTTTTTTCTAGTTGTTTTGTGTTTCCTTACTTCTATTTGTCTTCCTTTAACCTTCCTGGGTAGTAATCTCTTAAGTATTTCCTGAAAAGCTGGTTTCACTTTGGTGAATTCTTTCAGCATTTGTTTATCTGGAATGATTTTCTATCTCCTTCCATTTGAAAGAAAATCTTACTAAATATAGTTTCTACCTTTTGTCTCTGACTAATTAACATTTTAATGCACGTATTTTTAAAGTTTATCTATTTCTTCCATGAAAGACAGATTTAAAAAAAGAGACAGAAAGGGACCAGCAGTGGGCGTAATGGCTATGTCGCTGGACTCCCATGTAGTCAACCATGGTTGGAGTCCCGGACCCAGTGACTTAAACTCACGCAGGGCGCATGTGCGTGCGTGCCCAAGATCCTGAGAAGAGAGTGGAGGAGAAGGGATTGCGGCATGGCCATCCCCCCTGGGGGGTGTGTGTGTGATTTCTCACTTTCTGTCTCTCTGTCTCTCTCTGTTTCTGGCAAGTGCATGTGCCCTGTAGCACAAAAACTTCTCAAAAAAAAAAAAAAAAGAGAGAGAGAGAGAGAGAGAGAGAGAGACAGAAAAAGAGAGCGAGTGAGAGAGAGAGATACAGGTACCCCCCAACAAGGTTTTAATGCCACAGTCCCACCTTCAGCCAGCTAGGATCATGGGTACATGTGTGTGCATGCCTAGCATGGGACCTTGGGACTTGAACTTGGGATTTTCCATATGATTTTAGCATCACAGAACAATTCTTTACTGCTGCACTAGTGTCTGGTCTCAATAATAAACTTTTTTTAAAATTTACTTTGTTGGAGAGGAAGAAAGCACCCTCTCTTGCCCACCTCCCCTCCAGTGGAGAATGGAGCATCACAATCCCTTCTCCATTTCTCCATCCTGTCAGGATTTGGAGCACATGTGCACAAGTGGTTAGAGTTTCCTAAGTCACAGGGTTCAGGACTTGAACTACTTGGCCATGTGGCATTCAGCTGCCTTAACCACCAGACCACAAGGCTGGCCTCCAATAACTAATATTTTAATGGCATATTTCATTGCATTTGCACTTTTGAAAGTAATGTCACTTTTAAACATTTCATAAAGAACTGTCGACATATTGGCTGCAGCAAAATCTGCATGTTCATTTTTCGGTACCATTTAAAAGGAATGTCACATAAAATGGAGTTCACATGTAACAACCTTCAGTGAGTTGAAATTTGAAAACAGATAATAAAAACAGAGACTGCCTGCTAGTTTTCATCAACATAATTCTATGAAGCTCTTGTCTGAAGATAGTTGTCAAGTATCACACACTTAAAAATGTAGCCCTCCTGACTCTGAGGACTGGTCTGTAAACGTAGCCTGAGATGCTAATCCAGTGGTTCCCAAAGTGGCAAAGTGAGGCGGCATCAGCCTCACCTGGCAACTTGTTAGAAATGCACATGGTTGGGCCTCACCCCGATTAATCAGCATCTGTTTTAATACTTTCTCCAAAAGATTCTGATGCAAGTTAAAGTGTGAGAACTACTGTTCTACTCTATGGCAGAGTCTTGGCTTAAGCCAAATGGATATAAATAAAATTATTTGCATACTCAATCTTTTTTAGATGCTGCTGTCTTGAGCCCAAACCCCACCTACTTCACACTGTGGTGGGATCTTGTCTTCCCCTGGTTTTCAGAGCAGACTGCATGTGCTCAGGGCTGGTCCTCCCCGTCTTCTCTCAGGATGCTGAACTAAGGCCTGCCTGCCTGGGCTCTTCTCTGCTTTTGTAATTCTGCCATCATGTGCTGTGGTTGCAGATAAGACTTTTAACAGGATTGAAAACCACCCCCTAAGTAAAGACCAGAGTCAGATAAAAAATCTTATCTACATAATAGATTCCATAAGAGGATTATATATTTCAAGGTCATTCAATTCAAATATCTCCTAAACCCATAGCAGCTCCACTCTGGCTCTTTGACCCCTTGCTTTTTCTCTTTTTAGAGCCCAGTGTGGCATGGTCCCTGCTACAGGCCTGTCCTGCTGGAGTTCACAGGGTGGTTAAAGGGGGCGGTGCTTGCCTTGCCATGCAGGGGTCACATGTGCCAGCAACCTAGGACCATCCGAGGTCTTGTCACCACTGCCCTGCCACTGGTGTCAGACGTCAGGCTGTTCAGGAGAGTAAATAATGGAGATGAGGAAGAAAAGGAAAGGAAGGCTGAGAAAAGAAGAGGGGGAGCCAGTCTGATAGAGGCAGTGACCTGTGTGGATACTCAGAGTCTTTATCTGTGTGACTTCAGGTCAGTTTCTTCAGAGTGATGTTCGTGGAATACATACTACTCAAAATTGTTCTTTTCTAAAACTTTGTTAGGGGAAAGGAGATGGGGAAAAGGAAACAATATATATGATGGGGAAAAGTCACATATAACATTGCCTCTAGTGCTACTTAGAACCTGACAAAGAAACTTTACCTCAGTAAAATTTTCTAAAAGCAAAGATACACAAACTGGGGTCTGAGAAGCCCTGGAGTGTGTGACTTTAAAGCAACTTTAATTCCAAGATCGTTAGATGAAATAATGTAAGCTACATTTTGCCTATGAGCTTTTATATTGCTACATGGTGTCTTCAAGAAGTTTATGTAAAATCATATTACGAAAAAAAACTATGCATGGATTTCAAAATTGTTTTGCACTAAAATAAATATATTTTTCACAAACTCTTTGAAGTCCCTATGTCTCTGAAAATATGTTAGGAATTTCGTATTCACAAGTCAAATATAGACGTTATTTACATGATTTATACTGTGGGTGATAAACTTTAAAATGAAATAAATCTTTTAGTGGCATCATTTAAGAAAAATATGGGCCAGGTTGTGATGCGTGGTTAAGGTAGCTGGACCTCAGATGGACAACTGCATGGTTCAAGTCCCAGGCTCAGTGGCTTGAAAAATATGCTAGGCTTGAGTGCATGTGTGCCCCAAATCCTGAGAGAATGGAGGAGAAAGAATTGCAGCGTGGCCATCCTTCCTGGGAAGTGTTTTTTTACTTTCTCTGTCTCTTTCCAGCATACACTCTATAACAAAAATCATGCATACTTGCAAAAAAAAAAAAAAAAGAAAAAGAAAATAGATATATTACTGTTGGTAAAATAAAGTTTAAACATCTTTTATTATTTCTACTAAAGTGAATTTAGTGTTTGGACTGAAGTAACATTGAAGTAATATTTTGATATTAACTCTTTCCAGTATTAATTTTCTGTTGGTATATGTACATGAAGGATTATTAGACTTTTTTACATGACATTTATTTTGTACCTAATATTATGAAACCTTATATTTGGAATGCATAAGCATGAGATTGAGAATGACAAGAGAAATAGGATATGAAAGACTACTGATTATTGGGTTGTCGGGAAAGTCATGCCTAGAAAAATATTTCATAAATTTCCCGATGCTCCAATAATTCTTGGGAATGATTGTCTCCAATGGGTTGCAAAACACTTTTAGACAGACTTGTGGAAAAAACACAGATTATAATTAAAACAAGTAGGGGTCCAACCATGGTGGCATACACTGCTGTTCTTTGTAGGCAAGACCACATGGGAAACCCAGGTTCTATTCCCAATCCAACCTAAAGGCTATAGGTGATGGAGTGCACCTGTAGTACTGGCACCTGGGGAGATGGAAGCAGGAGGATTATGAGGTCATGGCTGGTTTGAGTAACATTACAAGACCTCATCTTAAGAAAAAGCAAAACAAAACAGAAGAGTAGGCGTTGGGGGTCTCATATCTTACTCACCTATGACTAGTGATATGAAAGAAAGTTGACAGTACAGAGTCACATCTCATGAAGTTCCAAGAGTCGCTGAAGTGATATTTGAAAGAAGGCCTTTTTTTTACATCTGCAGGCGTCCACTTATACTATGTTGGGGGAGAGGTGTATGCTGAGTGTGTGAGCGACAGCAGCATCTTTGTGCAGAGCCGGAACTGCAACTATCAGCATGGCTTCCATCCAGCTACTGTCTGCAAGATTCCCAGCGGGTGCAGCCTCAAGGTCTTCAACAACCAGCTCTTTGCTCAGCTGCTAGCCCAGTCCGTTCACCATGGCTTTGAAGTTGTTTACGAGTTAACGAAGATGTGCACTATCCGGATGAGTTTCGTGAAGGTGAGGAGTGCGGGCTTCCAGACTATTAAAAAGGACAATGAAAGACAAAATGAAATGAGAAAGCCCTCTTAGGTTGATGTGGCATTTCTATAGTCAGTTCAGGAATAACAGCTTTAGAGGAGAATTCTATTAACAATTTTAGGAAGAGTTCCTCTCTGAGTATTAACTATCTTGTTTAGCTATTACATAAGAATTCTTAAGCATATTATTTTGGAAGCAAATTAGGTTTCTCTCTGCTTATTTTTTAAATTATTTAATTATTCATTTATTATTGTTATTATTATTTTTCACATTAATTTTGCCAAAGACAGAGAAGAAAGAGGGAGAGTGAGAAAGCAAGCCACCAGGTCCAGGACTCGAACCATGGTCAGCCATGTGGGAATTCCAACACCTTAACCACCATGCCACCTGCTGGCCCCATTCTCTCTGCTTATTTTTAATGCAGAAGATAAAGTGACAATATTTTATGGGACTAAATGCTACAGAGATTTTCCCATCCCTCAACTTGCCAAGCACTGCTGTCATTCAGGGTACTTTTCCTGAACTAAGTAAGACACTCCTTACTCTTAGGAAACATGCAGGCAATGGAGGAGATAATATTTATAGGTAAGCTACAAAATAGAACTGGCTCTAATACAAGAGAGTTAAGTGTTACTAAAAGGTATAGGTTGAGTATCCCTTTTTTGAAATGCTTAGGATCAGAAGTGTTTGGAATTTTGGATTTTTTTTAGTTTGGAGTATTTGCATATAAATACTGAGGTACTTTGGGGATGAGACAGAAGCCTAGACACAAAATTCACTTTTGTTTTATATACATCTTATGCACATAGCCTGGAAGTAATTCTGTACAGCATTATAAATATTTTTGAGCATGAAACAAAGTTTGTGTACACAGAACCATCTGAAAGCACAGGTGTCACCGTCAGCCATCCGTGTGGAGTCTGTGGCTGTTTGGCATCAAAAGCGTTATTGACTCTGAATGTATATGCTACTGATACACAATCATGTTCTTCCTTATGCACACCGAAGAACTTAACAGTAAAAAGTATGGCGTATCATTAATATGATGAAAAAAGGTGTTCAGAGTAATATGCAGCACAGTATTCTGGTGATGTGTCAGCTATCAAGAACACTGTGTCAGCTAAGCAGCAGTCATGAGGAACAGGCACAGGTTTTCAGTCTCGGCCTACAATGCTGTTGCTTTGATAAAAAGGTTCCTCTACATGGTGATACCAGTGGCATTAGGTTGAAGCTCAAAACATTCTGGATTTGGGGGCATTTTAGAGTTTGGATTATTGGATCAGAGATGCTTAACCTATATAAACAGATTGGGATAGAACTATTACTGTGGGCGTAGGTAACTCTGAGAAAGAAGTGTGTTTTATGAATATTTGAACTTCTCAAATGAAATCTTATTAAGGTTGCTATGCAAGTTGATGAGCCAAGGAAGTGGTTAGTGGGCGGGAAAAACAATTGGACTTGCCAACATTGAAGCCAAAGGCCTCTATTTCATTATCTGCTATTTCACCTGTGGCAAAGCTCTTGCAAATCCCTTCTGTATTTCAGAACCTGAGCTTGTTTATCAAACTATCTGAGTACATGTGACACAGTTTTCATATTATCACATATTTATCCAAGGAATCAGTATGGCTTATTCCAGTTTTTTTCAAAGTAAATTTTATTACCTCTTTAAAATTACTATGACAAACAGTTGTCCTATTTTTCTACACTCAATTATGTTACTGAAATTATGATTTTAATAATTGTTAAAAAATAAGAAGCAAGCATATGGGTTGCAGTTTTAAATGGCTTCTTAAAACCATTTCTCTTTCATGAACAAAGCAGTTTTTTTGGTTTGTTTGATTTTTTCAGATTTACTGTTTTAAAAGCAAGTTTACATTTTAAAACAACTAACAGATGCCTGGAAATCTTTTCAAATGTTCCATTGCTTTAGAACCAGCAGAGGGCATTAAATTGCTATTAATGAACAATCATTTAAATTGTACAATTTTTCCAGGTCTGTGTTTTCAAAAATTAGGATTACATTTCAATATCTCCTAGATATTTACTTCTCTGTAACATAAACTTACATAGAAATTTGATTTTCCTAAGACCAGCTAGATGTATTCCTCAGATTTGCAAAGTTCAAATTTATAAAGCTACACAATTACCAGAAAATAAATAGTTTCTAATATTACACGGATGTTTTTTTAAAAAATGAATACATAGCAAACCTAAGTACAGATGATCAGTTTTTAAAAATTATAGATGACTAAAGACTCTCGGCTACTACCAAAGGTGATGGATGAGATCATTCCTAAGGTCTCCTTCAATTCGAATTTTTACTGTTTCTAGGATGCATTCATTTGTCAGCCAACAATATTTATGAGCACCTGCCATGTGCCAAGCCAGGCACTGTAATCACTCACAGATCTCTGTGCTCATGGGAAAATTAGTCTAGTAGGAGAAACAGACAGTAAGCAATAGCCATGACAAAGAATGTGAATGGAAAGAAAATATAAGGCAGATAAAGGGAATCAGTGTGCTGAGGTAGGGGTTGTCTGAGCACCAGGATAGGCCTCATTAAAAAAAATGTTAGGTCAGTAGAGACAAAGAAGACGATGGAGTCACTCACAATGATGTCTAGGGGAAGAACTGTGCAGGCAGGAGGAATAGTGAGCACACAAGCCTTGTGGCAAGACTATGCCTGGAAATTTGGAGGAATAAGAGGCCAGTGTGACTGAGGCCTACTGAGTAGGGGCAGGTGAGACCAGAACAGCAGTAGGAACCAGAGCAAGGCTTCACGAGCCATTGCAAAGAGTTTGGCTCTTACTCTAAAGACCTGGGAGCCAATGCAAGAATTTGACCAGAGAATTTCATAATCTGACTTATATTTTCAAAAGATCATTCTGGCTGCTTACACAGATAAGGCTGAAAGTAAGGAGACCTTATCTGTTGATAATAACATATATGATAATAACCTTAACTTGACAAATATAAAGTATACTCATGCTGAGAAAATTTATTTTGCAAGCTGTAATGATATATAGTAATTGAATGTATAAAAAGAATAATAAGAAGAAGACGAAGAAGAAGAAAGTAAGGAGACCAGGTAGGAGGCCATTGCAATATTCAGGTGAGAGATGATCATTGATCCTACCAGCAGAATTCCAGAACAAGTTGTGAGGAGTGGAAGAATGCTGAATTGTAAAGATAGATTAGATGAGGATGTGAAAAAAAGAGAGGGGTTAAAAAGTTGAAATTAGTTGCCCTCAGCCAAGATGGAAAACATGCAGGTGGATCAGGTTTGAAGGTAAGAGTAAAAGTTCAGTTCCAGTGATGACAACTTTGAAATGTCTGTCACACATTCACATGAGGAGAGAGGTCTGGGCTGGAGATGCAAGTTTGGAAATTGTCAGCGTATGGATGGCATTTAATTTATGAATCTGGCTGAGATCACCAAGGGTTTGAGTTTATACAAAGAAGACAAGGCATTCTGGGACTAATCTCTGGGAAACTTCGGCATTAAAAGATGATGAGGGAGAGAAAGAACCAGCAAAGACTGAGAAAGACCAACCAGTGAAACAGTGGCAGGACCAAGAACATATGGTGCTTTGGTACTTTGGGAGTCAACAGTACCTTAAAGAGAGGGAATGATGAACCAAATCAAACACAGCCCACGTAACACAAAGTCTGAGAGCTGATGATTAATTTTAGGTCTTGTTTTGATGTTAATAAGAACAGTTTTGTTGGAGGCTGGGGTGAAATGCTGATCAGAATGGATTTAAGAGGAAGGAGAGGAATTGAAACAGCAGGAACAGCTCTTTGTTCTTGCTAGAAAGGGTATCAAAGTGGGCACATGTGTGTGCATGCACGAAATCCCAAGAAAGAATGGAGGAGAAGGGATTGTGATGTGGCCATCTCCCATGGGGGATAATTTTTTGCTTTCTGCCTCTCTGTCCCTTTCTGTCTCTCTGGTGAGCGTATGTGTCCGAAAGTAAAAACAAGTCAAAAACTACTCCACATATCAATGAGATTATGCAATATTTTTCTTTCTGTGTTTGGCTTATTTCACTTAGCATAATTTCTTCCAGGTCCACTCACATTGTGGCAAGTGGCAGGATCTCCTTTTTTTAAGGCTGAATAATATTCTCGTGTGTGTGTGTGTGTGTGTGTGTGTGTGTATGCATTACATTTTCTTTATCCATTTGTCTGTCAATGACCATTTAGTGTGGATGGCTATTACCAAAAAGACAAGAGATAACAGATGTTGGTGAGAATGTGGAGAAAGGGCAGTCCTGATACACTCTTGGTAGGACTATAGATTGGTACAGGCATTATGGAAAGCATGACAGCTGAAAGAAAAAATATAGGTACTGTACAACTCAACCATCCCTCTTCTTGAATTGTTCTACCCGTAAGAGATGAAATTACCACCTTGTAAAGACATCTGCACCCCCTTATTTAATGCTTCCTCACTCACAACAGCCAAGATATGTAAACAAATACTTCATTTTAGAAAGAACTTTTCATTGACATGATAGGGAGAAAAATATACAAATTCATTTATTTTCAGTATCTCTCATGAATGGTAGTAAATGAGAAGTTGTCAAGCATCCCAGAGTAGGAAGAGAGGAGAGGAGAAAGAGAGGAGAAGCAAACTTGGATAATCAACCCTGAAAAATTAAGAGCCCCCTTCAGGTCTCCATGACTTTTATTGATAGGTCTAGTCACTGGTCCATTGTGGGTAACCATTTTGTGCAAAACGGTGTCTTCAGGGTGAAGTGGGTGAACCTAAGGTCAAGTTCCTTCCTTTACGGAAGGGAAAATGATGACTTGCCAGTGTTTCCCATGTGACTAGAGCCCCAGACCATGACTAAGTTTAACTTGTGAACCCAGAGGGAATGCACTGTTTTGGACTCAACTGAGGATGTATGGCTGGTGCAGGAATCAACCTGGACTTAGTAGTTCATGTTTTCCTCCTAGTTCTTGGGAGTTGTTCTGGACTGATGTGTGGGCTCTGCATTCAGCAAGCTCTGCCTGGTGGCTCTGGAAGTTGACTGCATAGTTACTCTTGGCTCCATTCTTTTGCTTTTCAGGGTTGGGGAGCTGAGTATCACCGCCAGGATGTCACAAGCACCCCCTGCTGGATTGAGATTCATCTTCATGGGCCACTGCAGTGGCTGGACAAAGTTCTGACTCAGATGGGCTCTCCACATAACCCAATTTCTTCCGTGTCTTAACAGTCAAGTCTTCAGCTACGTTTCTATAGAATAGATGCTATTGCAGGCAGTGGCTTATATCATTTCAGATGTGCAACTAATTGAAGTTTCTAAATACATATGTAAATACATATAATGTGCACTATTCATATTTTTATCAACATTTGTTTTGTGTTTTCTAGTTAATCTGGTACCAGCACAGTAGAATTATAAACGCAGGTTTTTCATGCCTATGCTATAAGAAGTTGTTTCTTTTGTGGGAGCCAATGAAAGGCAACTGTGTCAATAGCATTTGACAGGTATTGGCAGGACAAAAGACAGCTTCATTCAGCCATGTCATATAAAGTATGTTTATGGCCTAGCAAAAACATTGAAACTGTTTATATAGCAAAAAGGCAGGTCTCAACACCACTAGAGCAAATAACACAAATAAACAACTCAGACAAAACAAACAATCAAACCCATACTTTTTAAAGGATCTCATGTTTAGTGCTATTGGTAAGAAAAACAAATCCGTCTTGAACAATGAATGAAGGAAGACAAGCCTCGGAAACTTCATTTTATTTGTGGAGTTGAAATGCCTATAGCTGGACTACTGTGCTGATATTAATGGTACATTTTAAACAGGTTTAAACTGTGATAGGAAAAGGAGGATACTGTGAAACTAAGAGTCGTGTTGCCTCAATCTGCCACTGTATAATAAATGAGTCTAATATGGAAAAACAATTAGGAAGATAGTATGACATAATCAGAATTGCCCAATTACAAGATAAAACCAGCACTTAGTTTAGGAACCACTCTCCTGAAGACTTTGGTGCCTGTGCAGTGTGCTAGAACACCGCGTGCTTAAGTCCTGGGCAGAGAAGAAGCAAGTAAAATCGAAGGGTTGGACAAAGCATTTACTTGCACTTCTCACATTCTCACATTTAAGTCTTTAGGTGAGTGTGCTCCCTTTGTGTCATGTCCTTGCCTGTTGGCAAATATTAACTATTTACCAATTACCAAAGCAATGGTACGTAAGGCCTTTGAGAAACCCTAGACACATTACTGGATCAAATTTATGAGTCACTTAACTTAGTCTCTATTGATTGAATTATCTACTGATCAAATCTGGTAGACTCTTATAAGTGAAGTGATAATAATTCCCTGTAATTTCTGGGAAGTAGGGGTACTGAATAATAGGACATCTTTTAAAAATAAACAATGTTAAAAAAACCTCTTCTGGATGATGAAAATTCCCCAGACGCTTAGGTACTTTCATATATACACATATATATATATATATATGAAATATATAAAATTGCCACTCACTAAACACTGCGTTGCTTGGAAAAATATTCCACGCTCTCTTAAAAGTGTATAACTTAAGATGGCAGTTATGCTTGTAACAGTACTCCAGTAATCTAAGAGATATCTTCATTTATACGTTCTATCTCAACTCTTTCTAGCACTAATACACACGGTAGTTGTTTCTCATTAAATCGTATTCACGGTAGAAATGATCATGTGAAAAAGATATATAAATAGCTACTCCTGTCACGTCTTGCGATGACTAGTATTATCTAATAGATATATACAATAGAAAATAATTATTACATTTTACATTAAAACTAGGTGGCCCGTCTAGTGTTTAGAAACACCCGTAGTTTATTGGTTCATTAGCTATGTATTGTGCACCCACCTATATGTGCCAGGTACAATGTTAGGTGCTGTGGAATTAAATGTGAGTAAGAGACTGTCCCAGCTCTCATGGAGCCAAGAGTCTAATAGTAAATCTGTTTGTATAGACTTCTACATGTTTCAGAACTTCTAAAACAAAATAATAGGATTTTTCTTTAGCTTGGCAAAATCTAATGCCATCTTGAATTTATTTCCCGTCTCTTTTGAGCAATCAGGTAATGGATTCCTTGGATAAATGCTATTTTTATTCTATGTCAACCAATTGATGTTTTTTCTACCCCTTGCTTCCCCATTTCCCAATAATTCCTCATCTCCTCTTTTCTTGGAAAAGGCGTTAATGTGTTGAGTCTCCCATGGGCACTATTCCATGAGAAAGCTTTAAGTACACATGACTTTTTCTTCAGAGCTCAAACAGAGCTTTCTTGATCTCTCAACTGTCAGACTCATCCTTCGCTAATCTTACGCTTTCATAGAATTAATTGGAATCAGTGGCTTATAAGTGATAGTAAAAAATAATGAAGAAATCCTAAAACATTGGATTTCTATGCAGCTTTGGGAAACTAGCTTTGTAGTGAAACCTGAATTATTTTTGTGAAAAATAAATGATTAAATTGGAACATATCATCGTCAGTCATGTCTAGCTAAAAGCCTTTTATTTGGGTACTTGTGAAACTCAGAGAGTTTAGAATTGGTTAAAAGTAAACCCTTTAGTCACAATGTGAGATAATCACTTTATAGTAAGCTTTTTTCCCCTCCTCTTTTGCTGCCAGTAGCTCTCAAAAAATAATATTGCAGTATTTGATTTCAGACTTTTAAATGTGCTTGTTTAGCACTCATTCCTTGAGGTTGACAATCCTTCCCAAAACTGAATAGCATTCCTTTATGAGGTAATTAGAAAAGTGTACTTACTAAGCCTTTACATATGTCAGCACTGCAAAACATGTTTAAAGTTGCCACCAACAAGGATCATACAATAGAGATCTATAATATTTTGGGCTGCTCACAAGACCCAGAACATTCATCATGTTGTTTAAGCCATTTTTTTCTCTTCTGTTAAAAAAATGAGATGTGAAAAATTTTAGCTAGATGATATTTTAATAGCTGCCAGTGCTTTGGAACTACAGAGATTTCACTTTTTAATACATATATTTTATGTTTTGTTATTTTTTTTTATGCTCAATATAGATCAGGAAAAGTTGACCAATTACCTAGAAGCTCCTTTTGATTATCTTCTAAGGATACAGATGCCCCCATAACAGCAGCAAAAGCATTTTGTTAACATCACTTGTTAGATTTTAAGTTCCTGCTTAACTTTAAACGACTTCCAAACACTCGGTTTGTGTGAATATGAATATGTATGTGTGTGTGTATATATGCAAAATATAACATGCACTCCAAATTTTGTCTTTTCCTGTTCAGATTTAACAGCTGAACTATATGACAAGATTAAGTGATCCTGGAATATGTTAAAGTTGAAATTAATGTGAAACAACCAACAAAAAAGCTATTTCTGTTGAAGTAATGCTTTTGATTATAATAACTTGGCTTCAGTTGTCCTTCAAATACACACTTACACTGTTATCTAATTGTTCATAAATAAAGAACACTGTACCTACATGTCTTTTGACTCATTTTTCTTACAGACATCACAAAAGGATTCACTGCATATATACGTTTGCAGCTCATTAAGCTCCAAGATATGTTAAGTCTGTTTTGAAAATGAAATGTATTTAAAATCCATGCCGGCTCAGGGAGGGACTTGCACACTCAGGGAATAAATTGATACTGTAACCGATCTGAGCCTGCCTGCCTGTCAGACACCTGATCTTGCAAGACTTCCATTAAAGACTCGCTTCCCTGTAAAAATAAAATAAAATTCATGATGGGATAGAGAAACTAAGCAGTGGCTTTGAATTAAGCATTTTGGAATATCTGGCATTAAGTATAGAATCTTGAAGATACTTTGCAGTAACTTTAAGGAAGATATACACAGGACCCTTTTTTTTAAGATACCACAAATATTAAAGTGACATTGCAGTGTATAGTATTGGAAAGAACACTTTTATTATATTGTAAACATCTGTGTATTGCTGTATATTGCCTATTTTAAAGTTGCTATAAGAAAGATAGCGAAGTCCACACTGCCCTGTGAATTAGTGGTTAAGAAAGCTAGATCCCACTTGACTAACTGCAGTTCAAATCCCTGCCTTGGCAGCTTGAAAACATGCCAGGTGCATGGGTGTGTGTGTGTGTGTGTGTGTGTGTGTGTGTGTGTGCCTCAAATCTTGAGAGGATAGATAAATGGAGGAGAAGGGATTGTAGCATGACTATGTTCTACTGGAGGGTGCTTAGCCCATCATCCTCCCTCTCTCTCTGTCTCTCCCTGGCAAGTACACACACTCTGGCATTAAAAAATAAAAGAAAAATCTAGTAAGGGGAAACTAAGATGTAATCCAGGACTGTGAAAATCTCTAAAACAGGGACTAGCAGCGTAATGGTTATGTCGCTGGACTGCCATGTAGTCAACCATAGTTCGAGTCCTGGACCTGGTGGCTTAAACTCACGCCAGGCGCGTGTGCATGCATGTCCAAGATCCCAAGAGGAGAATGGAGGAGAAGGGATTGTGGTGTGGCCATCCCCTCCGGGGGGTGATTTCTCGCTTTCTGTTTCTCTCTCTGTCTTTCTGGTGAGTGCACGCACCCTGTAGCAAAAACCTCTCCAAAAAAAGAAAAAAAAATATCTGAAACAGTAAATTCTCAAATCTCTCCATTTAAATTTCCTTCTAGTCATTAAATGGAGTGGAAAGATCTATAAGTATTTCTAGAAAAATGAGGCTTATTAACTTAATCATTGCTTTCTATTAAAAAAAAAAAAAAGCAATGGAGCCCTCATTCAAAGGAAATTATTTTGTGAAATTCCAAAGTATAAATGGGTAAAATAGAAGCTATTCTGATTCAGATGCAGGTGGGGATGTTGAACTCCAAAATCACTATTTCTGGAGAACAGTGATTATGTCTCATTTGTCTTTGCCATCTCTCAAGGTTCCTGACTCAGTTCTTGCATCTAATATTTGATATTGATGTTTCAAACACTACCTTGGATACATTTTTTAAAAATTTATTATGGTATAGACATAGGATATTATCTTTTTTTTTTGGAAAGGTTTTTGCTATAGGACGCGTGCACTCACCAGATAGACAGAGACAGAGAGACAGAAAGCGAGAAATCACCCCCCAGGGGAATGGCCACACCGCAATCCCTTCTCTGTTCTCCTCTCAGGATCTTGGGCACGCACGCATGCACATGCGCCCAGCGTGAGTTTAAGCCACCGGGTCCGGGACTCGAGCCACGGTCGACTACGTGGGAGTCCAACGACATAGCCATTACGCTAACTGCTGGTCCCCATAGAATATTATTTTTAACATTTACTCATCTTAGAGAAGGAATAATTTTTTTCAGAGTTTAGGACTTTTTAAAATTTGTCCTAAAGTCATTGAAGCAAAAATCATAATAAAACATCGTGCTTTCCTTTACAATTGCCCAAAGGAAAAAAATAAAAGCTATTTGTAGGAAAAAATGGTTTTGTACATGGGATGAAACAATATAAATTCAAAACTAACAGATAAGGGTTAGCTCTATCACTCATCTCTTTAAAAAGTGTAAATAAAAAGCCAGGCAAAACCAACAAGAGTACCTTGAAACGTTATTTCTACGGCTTTCCAAGTAGACCACAGGACTGCACAATGTCTTGGAATGTCCTCAGAAGGCTCTGTCAGTGATCAGGTACTAGAGTACAAACCCCACAGTCCTTTCTTTCAAATGGAGGAGGGATGACAGAGGGACAGAGAAACTATTCAAACTTCATCTTCTTTCCTTGTGGCTTGTGGTCTCCTCCTCCTCCTCTGCCTCCTCAGAAGCTACCTCGCCCTCCAAAGCCTCCTTGGCCTCTGCCACCCAATCCACCTCTGCCTCCTCTGCCTCCACCTCGGCCTCGAACCCTACAACCCCCACCTTAGCTGCCTCCATTTTCCATGACAACTGACCCCCAAGAAGCTGGCTGTGGACATTCCTGGGGTGATGCTGGCCTCCGTTCAGTGTCTCTACAGATGACAAAGCAGACTGTTTTGGGCCCTGAGAGAACAGCAAGAAGTAGGATGGACTGGTCCTTGCCTGGGTGGGACCCTCATTTCAGAGAAGCATGGGCTCTCCAGCTAGCGAAAGCCTACCCGAGAATGTAACTGAAGCTGTAGAGGGTCTTAGCACCTTAAAAAAAGAAAAGAAAAAAACAAGTGTGACTCTTGTACATGGAGTGAACTAGTTTTGAAGTCTTGAGCACGATAGTAGCATAAGCTTTTATTTCTCCCCAGAAGGCACATGCATTCACTAGACAGAGAGACAGAGACAAAGAGAGGGGAGGAGAAGAAAGCATTCCCCAGTGAGCTGTGGTCATGCTCCACTCCTGTCTTCATTTCTCCATTCAGGTGGGACATGGAGTACACAGTACGCACACGGTGTGTTTTGCAAACTGCCGGGGCCAGGATATAAATATGCAGTTGACCATACGTTACCCAGCTCCCTTAGCCACCAGGCCTCAGGGGCAGCCTATATAAGCTTTTTTTTTTTTTTTTTTTTTTTTTTTTTTTTTTTTTTTTTTTTTTTTTTTTTTTTTTTTTTTTTTTTTTTTTTTTTTCTATGGGACCCACTG